TTTTAAGTGATTTTTATAAACTGTGTTCTTTCATTGCTATTGTTGTCAACACACTTCATGTGCTCAGCACTCAAAAACGGCTCCTAACTTGATAAAAGCCCCTATAGGATACAGTGTTTGGCTCAGTCATACTTCATTAAATCACAATGGCTTATGAGGGGGGCCAGTCAGTACCTATATTATACTGTGTGAATACTGAGCATCCTCCCACCCCAGCAGTCATGTCTCCAATGCACTTCTGCCACACTCTGTTTATGGTTCAGCGGTGAGCTGGTATTAGGTGGTTCATGTTTGGGGTTTTCAGTGATGCTCTGAGCAATAGGAAGGCTGTTGTCTAGATGGGATGGCAATTCCTACATTTGGCAGGGATCAGCTGTTGTCCCGGTGCAGCTGACTGTTGGCAGCCGGCTGGTGGCCTCTGTGTTGCTTCTTTGTCGGTGAATCCTCCTCCTGTCAGAGCAGACTGAGGATGACTAACAAGAGTAGCTGTATGCAGCTGTCATTATGAACTCATCACAAAGCTGCAGGCCTGTTCTTTCATTTGTAGGAAATAAAAACAACCAACTATTTAAATGCATTTAGTTTATGTAGAAAAGTAAAGGCAGTAATCACTTTTAGGAACATCTCCTCTTGACTTTTATTGTTCTTTTTAGAGGTGATGCTGCATTTGTTGATAGGCTTTATTTTGTTTTAAAATATTATTTTCAATCCAGTTTGGTTTTCCAGAGTAATTTTACTCATTTGTTTAGTTTTATGGTTTGAAAAATGGTTGGCTTTGTGGACATTATTTGTTTTTAAGTCTGTTGTATGAAGGTTATTTGTCAGGCTAAGATTTAGGAACATCAGATTTTTTTTCTAGTTGAAAGTGCTAAATAAGTAACTCAAATAACATCAACCCCCTCATAAATTTTACCATTTAAAAGTAGCTGAAAATCTGCCAGCACAGCTGCCACTCCTTGTCTCGCGAGACTGGACGGGTCCTGGCTTAAAGTTTGCTCAGCTTTGTGGCAAAGGATAAAATAACTGCCAATGTGAGTATATGATGCCTGACGTTGCTGGTAAATGGGTGTGAAACGGAACAAGTAAATGCATTTATGAACTCAACCCATTTTGACTTCTAAAATCCGCTATTTGCATACCAGAGTTTGCTTGTAAACCTTGCGTACGCCATAAAGAAGAGCGCGCAGTTTACTCTTTGATATTTTTACATGATTTGTAGTGGTGTGCAGCATTAACCAGTTAAATAAAAATTATGGACTATTTTTTGGTGTTTGAACTAGAGGTGGGAATCACCATACATCCCACGATATGATATTATCACAATACTTAACGCACAATATGATATTATTGCAATTTTATTGTTGACAAACTGAACGGTTTGTATTACAGTCTAGTCCAACTTAACTGAATGCAGCCATCTGGTATAGCTATTCTGAACTATGCTCAGAAAAAGGATCAACATGCTCTGAAGTCAGAGCATGTTCCAGTCCACAAAAACTTTTTTTGTAACAAAATATCGATTTCTGCTGTCCCTGTATCGATACATTATTAGCAAACAAAATATCATGATACTACACAGTATCGATTTTTTCCCCCACCCCTAGTTTGAACTGAGTTGCCAGATGAGTAGCCCTGCCACAGGCCAGGCTGATGAACCTACAGGTGTAGGTGAGCCTGTGAACACAGAGCAGCTCTGAACTCATGAGTAAATCACTCATCCTACACTAATTCAGGCCTCAAGCTCCACCCCTTGGGTTTAAATCAGAGAGTTTTATTTGATGGTGTTTTTTTACCCTTGTTGAGTTTCCACCTGACTGAGCAGTTGAGCACACGCTCTGCTGAACAGTTCGTCTGCCTCGCAGGCTGTTCCTGCTTTGCTGTCCTCTCTTGGTTAGGGTACCACCAAGGGACTCGCCAGTCAAATGTGCTTGAGATAAAACTAACCAGCTCTGACATGAAGCAGCATGTTACCTGCTATGAACAGGGCCAATACTTTTCCTGGGTTTTTCTCTGAAATGCCTAAAAGATTTGAATCCTTCTGCTGTACTGTTGACATGGATCTGGTGGTACCTGTCACAGGTATGTTCAGGTAATGAGTTGTCTGTGGTAGAGGAAGGTTCAACCAGACTTTAAACAAACTGATCACACAGTGGATCAGTGTCTGTCAGCTGCTGCGGGTTCTATATTCTTGGGCGGATGACACATTCAGGTCTGAAGCTGCTGACATTTACTTTTGTCAACTGGATTGGTGGCAGACTGGAATTATACTAAACTTGTCCTTTTTTATTTTATTTAATTTTTTCTATCTCAGCCTCTCAGGTCTCACCTTGATGTCATGCCTGTCCATGTGCTGTTGGAGGGTACGGGGCCTCAGATACCAGCACATCTGACCAGGATTCCCATCTCTCTCATCACCACCAGCACAGATGTCACAGACAAAATAGTCAAGGTCTGTTACAGCAAGCCTAAAAACAAAATATATAAAGTGCCCATGAACGTGTGTGTGTGTGTATGTACACAAATAAGATCTGTGTGTCCCAAGCAATAATGGCTTTGTACTGCTCTAGCAGAATGAACATTGTGTGATGATGGTAAATGGCCTGGTTCTTATATAGCACTTTTCTACTCTACCTGAGCATCTCTCATTGTCACAAGCACTTTTTTTCTACATCACATTGCATTCTGTCTAACATTCATACTCCGATGAATGCATCCGGTTAGTATCTTGCCTAAGGCATGCAGACTGGAGCAGGGATTGAACCGCCAGCCTTCCAAGTAGCTGCTTTAACTCCATAAATACAACCACCCAGACTCACCCAGTATAAAAACCTGCAATCTTAAAGATTACATAAAGGAGTTGACATCGTTTGTGCGCAAAGCATGTATAGTCCTAACTCTGGAAAGTGTATTAATGTAACTAATAGACTTGACCTGGAAGTTGCATCTGAATTTATTCATATGTGCATATATCAGTGTTTTATATCTATTTAAATTTTTATGATTGTGGCTCATGAAAATCAAAAATCAAGTATCTCAGATTATTAGAATATTTCCTTATATAAACCAGAAATGGATTACAATATAGAAATGTCAAATTTCTACAAAGGAGTATCAGGGCCACTTTAAGAAAAGAATATTATTGATCATTTTGAGAATAAATTCAGTTTAGTTGTTAAAGTTGAGTTGTAAAGTTGTAATTCTATTTCAAGAAAAAATGCTATATTAAAAAAAGTCGAAATGCATAGATTACTGTTGTTGTTGTTTCAAGCCAAACTGCCAGGGGCGCTATAGCCTCTACAAAATGCCTTGTGTAGAGAGTTAGTGAAACAAATTGATCAGTCGTCTTGTGATACAACATAAATATTCTTTATTGCACAAGGTGTAACCATTGATAGCCTTGCATCTGTCCACTGCCAGCCATTTCATTTTGGACAAATTCTCTCTTCTAATTTTGTGTGTGTGTGTTCCCCCCCAATCTGACCAGGCGCAGCTTTTTAAACCATCTTTTCAACGTCCATATATTGATCACTACAATATGTTTGTGTGCTAAAAGAGAAATCATTTCCTTTCTTGTTACTAAAACTGGTTCTGAAGTAAGATTAACTCAGAGAATGTAACCGTGGCGGCTTATGTTGGAAGAACAGCTGTAATCTCTACATTTTCTCTTTTTTCTCAATAGCATTTCAACTTTAATCTCAAAATGATCAATGACACTTCCCCGCTGTTTTTCTTTCCCTTTTTCTTTCTCCCTTTTCTTTTCCCCAGTGAAATCTGTCCCGTGTTTAGCAAGTGAAAATAAAATAAAAATAATCAATAAAAGCAAAGGTGAATCAAATAGACCATTACAGCAAGACTGGGATGGTCCATTTGGTAAAGTAAATCCATTGGGCATCTTTCTTTGCCTTTAGACAATAATTCCAATGGCAAAAGAGCCAAACGCGACAGGCGAAAAAAAAGAAAAGAAAAAAACATCAATGACAATGTTTTTGTTTTTTTTGTTCTTTTTTAAATTGTGACCCTAAAGCTGTCTGTATGTTCATCTATATACTTGCTACTTGGTTGGGACTCCTTTTCCACAAATGTCTACCTCAGTGTGGTGTGCCATTACCTTGTGGCACAGCTGAGATGTTACTAAAGGCCACGTTGCTTTGATAACGGCCTTTAGCTCTTCTTTATTTTGAAGTTGACATTTACTCATCTTCCTCTTGACAGTACTCCATAGAGGCCCTGTGGGGTTTAGGTCATGCAAGCTGGCTGACCAGTCAGGGTAACAACATGGTAGATATGGTAGAAGTTTTGGCACTGTGGGCAGGCACCAAGTCTTGCTGGAAAATAAAGTTGGCATTTCTATAAAGCTCAAATCATCACAGACTGTGGAATTTTGACACTGAATTTCAAACACCTTGGACTCTAAGATGAGAAAATAGACTGTTGCTCAGTGGTTCAAAGGCTTTTCAGATAAAAGTAAATTGTACCTCTTCAATCTTCACCCAGACTCCAGGACCTTGATTTAGAAACAAAATCTACAAAGATACTTGATATTAGGAATGCAACAGTGGTAGCTCCTTTCCTGAAGAAGCCCCTTTCTGTACGTGGTGGTTCATGATGCACTGACACCAGCCTCGGTCCACTACTTATGAAGCTTCCTAGTTTCTTGAATTGACTTTTCTTGACAACCCTGTCAAGACTGAAATCATCTCTGTTGCCTTTTGACCTTTTCCTAGCACACACTTCTCTTCCAGGCATGTTTCAATCAAAATGCTTTGATATAGCACTCTGCCAACAGTCAACTATAATGAGAAATAATTTGGAATTATTAGAATTAAAGAAAATAAGACCTGAAATGTATATAGATAAAGTGACAAGTTCAGAGTGCATTTTTCTCACTTTCTAGCTTCCAGTCCCCATCTTTTCATGATTTAGAGCACAGCAGTGATATAAGCACAATCACCTTTTGTCCTCTGGCCCATTTCTCAAGGTCTTATTAACATTGCTTGGTTTTCAGATTTGGCTTTGATATATTGACAGGAAATTTTGCAGAACGTCAGTCACAGCAAAATGCTTTTGAGTTCATTTTCACATCAGGAATTTTTTTTTTTTCAATTTACAGGGGAAAGTGGTTCACAAGGGGCCGCTAGTGCCATTGAACAATGACAGTTTTATCCTGAAGATGGTCATCCAAGGTAATGTTTAAACAAGTATTAGCTGTCCGTCAATAAATTCAAATATGTGTGTGTTTTGTCATGCCTTTACTTACGGTTCCCATTACCTTCCATGTGTTTATGATAATGTGGTGGTTGGTTATCATGTCAAAATTTAGTTTTGTTTAGAGAGACTTTTGCACTCGACATTGTGTATATAAGTGTTTGCGTTTTATTTTATTTTTTTCATTTTATAATTTGTTTTTAAGTAAGACACTGTTTAATTACATCTGACTAAACAGATTTCTTGTGTTGTCCAGCAGTCGATTCAGAATACGAAGAAATTTAGTTTATTATCGCACACACCAAAGAGAACTAGTATACCCTCTTTAGGCATCTATTACAATAGTTTCCCAGTGTTAGTTATAACTAGCAATTCAAGTAGCCTAATAGTGTAGCTCTAGCTATAGTTGCTGTACATAATATAAACTATCAACTGAATTTTACCATGAGACCCATGTTCTTCATCTTTCACTGGGCCTGAGTTCAGTGTTCTCATTTGGAAAAGAGTGGATTTGCTCACTTAGGGTTTTGAAGTTTCTGCCTCAGGCGGAGGAGTCCACATACATTATCTCAGCTTCCTATTCATGTGTAGAGGAAGAGTGGAACAGAAGATTGAAAAATGGTTTGATGCAACTATATGAATTTGGTAAAGAGCAGAAAGCAAAGCTGTGAATTTACAGGTTGATCAGTGTTACTACTGTCACCTTTGCCCGCAAGCTGTGGGCATTGACCAAAAGAAAAACAATGCAGATGGAAGCAGTAGAAATAAGTTTCTTTCAAAGTGTGTCTGGACTAACCTAAGCGTTGGGGTGAGAAGCTTGCCCATTTGTAAGTGGCTCAGAGTAGAGCTACTGCTCCTCCACATCACAAGTTGAGGTGGCTTGATCATGAGATTAGGACACCTCCAGAATGCCTCATAAATGTGGTGTTTCAGGCATAGCCAAGGACTATTGGCTTTTGTACTTAGACTGCAGCCCCTGCAACTCGACCCCTTGAATTTACCTTTGCCCTTATCCTTTCCAGTTTTAACACATTCGTATGATGTTTTCCAGAAGAAGATTCCATGCTGAACAGCTCATCTCAGAACTCATCTGTCAATGTTGTTTTGTTTGGATCACTGGCCAAGAACTTCAGTCAGTCTGCCAACCAAGGGGTAGGTCTCTGAATTAGGGCTGTGCAATATGACCAAAATCTCATATCCCGATATAAGAATTCTATCGTCCCGATAACGTATAAATCACAAAAAATTAAGATTTTCTGTAAATTCTGTGAATCTCGGGCAGCTCGACTTGCGGGAAGTGTTTCCAGCTGCGCGTCATGTAGCTGGAGTCGAGTGTTTTAACCGATGCATGAAACGATACATTTTTAGACATAAGTTGTAACAGCCGCCGTTTTCTTTGTGAGTATTTATTACACGGCGTGTATTTTGTTTTAATTTACTTTCAAATTCCTCAGTTGCTGAAAGGGCTGCATAGTTTTCATAAATGGCATAGTTCAGAATAGCTATACCAGATGGCTGCATTCAGTTAAGTTGGACTAGACTGTAATACAAACCGTTCAAGTTTGTCAACAATAAAACTGACTGAAATGAGAGAAAGACTGAGTGTGAGACTTTGATATTAGATAAAATGAATATTGATAAAGTTTACCTTTATGTACAGAATCTGAATATCGCAAAATATTTAAAAAAATTGCAATAATATCGTATCGTGCGTTAAGTATTGTGATAATATCGTATCGTGGGATGTATGGTGATTCCCACCTCTATTATTTACATTGAAAAACTAAGGAGTGGTTTTGTTAGAAACATCTAATAAAGCCAGCACAGTTCTGGAAAAACATTCTTTGTACAGATGAAATCAAGATCAACCTCTACTAGAATGATGGCAAGAAAAAAGTTTGGAAAAGGTGTAGAACAGCTCACGATCCAAAGCATACCACATCATAAACACAGCGAAGGCAGTGCGATGGTTTGGGCATGTATGGCTGCCATCGACACTAGTGTTTATTAACCCTTTCATGCATAGCGGTCACTACAGTGGACAGCTATTCAAAGACTGTTTTTATTGTACTTGTGTCAGTGTTGATGGTATACTTGTACATAAACCACTACATTGGACACTGATGTGTCACTCAATACCCTGCCATCCACTGGTCGTTTAATGTTACTATAGATATATGACATGTTTCATTTTAATTATTGTTATTTAATCCCTAATTATTCATCTTTTCATGGCTAAAGATGAGGTTATCATAAATCATGCATGAAAGAGTTGATGATGTGACACAGGACAGAAGCAGCTGAATGAATTCTGAGGTGTCTGTCTGACATACTGTCTGCTCAAATTGAGCTAAATGCAGTCAAATTGATAAAGGAGTTTCATTATACAGATGAACAATGTCCCAAAACATACAGCCAAAGCAACCCATGAGTTTATTAAAGCAAAGTAGTGGAATATTCTTAAATGGCCAAGTCAGTCACCTGATCCCAACTGAGCATTTCACTTGTTGAAGGTTAAACTTTCGATAGAAAGGCCCAGAAACAAACAGCAACTGAAAGCCGCTGCAGTAAAGGCTGGCAGAGCATTAGAAAGGACGAAACCCAACATCTGGTGATGTCACTGAAATGAAGGGATTGTGTTTAAAAAATTGCTTTAGTTCCCCACATTTTTGGTGCAATCTTTTTGTCCAGCCCACTGAATTAAAGCCAAACCGCAACTGCATCTGAGTTGTTTACCTAAAATTTACTGTGTTAATGTACAGAATCAAAATGAGAAAAAAGGGATCTGTGTCCAAATATTTAACTGTATATTTGCTATTTCCAGTCAGCACTTTTTTTTTCCAGTGTTACAAGTGGCTCTACTTTGCAACAAAATTGGGAGGCCACACAACTAAGTTACGCATTAACTATTTTATTTGCAAAAGGTAGAAACGGGTCATAAATCAGTAAACAGTGGTGAGGTGTTTGCTTGAGGGTCTATCAGACTGGGAGGCTGTTTACCATGTGAGGAGCAGCAAGAGAAAAACATGTCAGTGCTTTATAATGGCCTTTATTATTAGCTCCTGATGACAACCAGTTGGCTAGAAATTCCTCGTTCCTTCCATGAGTGACATAACCTAACAAAATAGATTAGGAGGCTCATCACACCATTTAGAAAAAAATGTTAAAATAATGTTCACATCAAATGTCTTCACGAAGTCTAAGGAACACAAGCCATATCGCATTTTTGATCAAAAAGATTTGGCTTTGGTTTTATTTGAGCTGTTCTAGCTGTTATTAGTGAGTTGTTATTAGTCTTTAGTGAACACTTAAATGCAGGGTTTGGGATTTGC